ATATGCTGTGGAGTTGATCGACTCATAACAATCCTGTGTCCTGTGTAGGATTTCTGAGGAGTGGCTGGTGGGTTTAAACTGTCTATCTTATGTTGGAACAACAAAATTCTGTACATGGACAGAGATATATGCTGAATGGATATGGGAGCAAGAGTGGACTTTTCCTCCCATACCCTTCAGCATGTGTCCCTATCCATGTATCTACCCCCAGAACATTGCTGTTCCAATGTTGTATATATATGACTATTAACCTCTACCCCCTTTAGCCCATGAATACCTCCCTGGGCCTTCACCGGTCTTCATTATTCTTCTGTCACCTTCCCTTTTATATATTGCCCTCCCCATCACCCAAGTTACTATGTGTGTACCCTCTAGCCAGTGAGTTACTCTCCCCTCCCTTCTACCCCTGGTAAAAACCAAAGAATGTTTTAGTCTGGGAACCTTTTCTTAAGCCTTTACAATAATGGTCTCATACAATATATGTCCTTTAGTGATTGATTTCACTTAGCATAATGTCCTCCATCGTCATCCAAGTTATGAGGTGTTTTTAGATTCATTGTTTTTCTTCAATGTTGCATAGCAATAACTGGCTCATGTGTAGCAACAATTGTGAAGTTAGCCCAGGACCTGGCACTGTTTTCTGTTTTGCGTAAGATCGCTGTGAGTCAGTACTGACATTTTCTCTTCAGCTTTTTTGCCTCCTCATTTCTTCCATTTGCTTAGCTTCTCTATGCTGGAAAGCAAGTCTCATATATTTTGGTCTTTTCTTTATTTCTTGTCTTCTTCATGACCTTTTACTTTCTTCCTGTATGATGTTCTTCTGGTCCTTGGTCATTTATATATAATTCATCAAATCTGTTCTTGAGATGATCTCTAAATTCAGGTGGGACATGTTCAAGGTCATATTTTGGCTCTTGTGGACTTGTTTTAATTTTCTTCAGCTTCAGTCTGAACTTGTGTATCCATAATTGATGATCTGTTCCACAGTCTGCCACTGGCCCTGTTTTGGCTTATGATATGGAGCTTTCCCACTGTCTCTTTCCATAGATGTAGTCAGTTTGTTTTCTGTGTATTTTATCTGGTGAGGTCATGTGTATAGTCATCTTTTATGTTGTTTAAAAAAGATATTTGCAATGAAGAAGTCAATGGACTTGCAAAATTCTATCATGCAATCTCCAGGATTGTTTCTATCACCAAGGTTATATTTTCCAACTACTGATCCTTCCTCTTTGTTTCCAACTTTTGCATTCCAGTTGCCAGTAATTATCAATACATCTTAATTATATGTTTGATCAATTTCAGACTGAGAAGTTGGTAGGATTTTTCAATTTCATCAACACTAGCTTTAGTGGTTGGTGCATAAATTTGAATAACAGCTGTATAATTGACTAATAACTAGTATTTCTTGTAAGCATCTGGACATTATCCTATCACAGACAGCATTGTATTTCAAGATAGATCGTGAGATCTTTTTTGATGATGAGTGCTACACCATTCCTCTTCAATTTGTCATTCCCAGCATAGTAAACCATGTGATTGTCAGATTCAAAATGGCCATTTTCTGCTCACTAATGCTAGAATTCCATTTCATTTTTTAGAACATCCAGTTTTCCTATATTCATATTTTGTACATTCCATGTTCTGATTATTAATGGTTGTTTACACAACTGTTTCTCCTCCTTTTGAGTTGTGCCCCATCAGCAAATGAAGGTCCCCAAAACTTTACTGCATTTGTGTCATCACGGTCAACTCTAATTTAAGGAGGCAGCTCTTCTCTAGTCGTATTGTGAGTGCCTTCCAACATGAGAAACTCATCTTCTGGCACTATATCTGACAATATTCTGGTGCTCTTTATCATGTTTCAATATTCAATATTCTGGCATTATCTGACAATGGCCCACTGCTATTCACAAGGTTTTCAGTGTCTAAATTTTCAGAAGTAGCCCATCTTCCCTTATTTCTAGTCTGTTTTCATCTGAAGCTCTGCTGAAACCTCCATGGGTGACCCTGCTGGCATTTAAAGTACCATGGCATAGCTTTCAGAATCACAGCAATATGGACACCACCACAGTATGACAAAATGACAGCCTCGTATGCATGTGAAATTTGGACAATGAATAAGACTATAGAAGAATCAACATGTTTGAATTTTGGTATTGGAAAAGATTAAACGTACCATGGACTATCAGAAGAAAAATATGTGTTGGAAGATAAAGACAGATGCTCATCAGAATAATAATAATAATAAGAGAGACTTGGTCTCTCTTATTTCTGACATGTTATCAGGAGGGACTAGTCCGTGGAGAAGAACATCATACTTGGCAAAGGGGAGGGTCATAAAAAAAGAGGAAGACCCCCAAGTACATGGATTGACATAGTGGTAACAGCAATGGACTCAAACAGAACAATTGTTGAGTGTTGAAGGAGAATATTGAAAGTGCCATGGGTTGCCAAAAGAACCAATAGATCTGTTTTGGAAGAAGTGCAGCCAGAGTGCTCCTT